ACTGCTTTGATAGCAGTAGCTCTAATTTGGCTTGACTGGCCAAATTTGAACAAAAAGTTAAAGGTAAACCTGTTTTCACACTGAATTGCAACTTGCAAGGCTAAGCAAGCTGTGCATTTGTTCACTCTGTGGTTATGTATTTAATTCAGTTCCAGCTTTTCCTCTCAAAGAAATAGAAATTTGTTTCTAATAAGATTTACCATTATTAGAGATCTCATTTTAAGCCCAGGGGTTTTTACTGCAATTCAAGCAAGTTGTTTTTTTTTTGTACAGACAGAAGGTGAATATATGCCTAGGCAAAAAAAAAATTAAAAAAAATGGAATATCAAAATCTCACCTGTACAATTGTAATATGAGGTCTCGTAAGGGTAACATTGGCCAGATTGGGAAGAGGCAATCCTTTTGACAGTTTAGCTAAAAAAACAAAACAAAACAAAATAAAAAGAGACATACACAATGATTTCAGTATGCATTTGAAAGATAATAAATACCTGCCCTTCAACAGCTCTGTTTATCTAGATATTTTTAGGTCATTTACAACAATTAACCTCTTAGTCTTCTCAAGCAACCCTGACAGATAGACCCAATGCTCACTTACCAGTGGGAAAAAAGAATTACAGATGCTTTTCTCTTGACAGTGTTGCAGCCAAACCAAGGCATTTCATGTTCATCATATTACATGTGCAGTGATTAGTCTGTAGTGCCTTGAGGGATTGTTAATACAGTTCTAACATCATTAGAACTTGTTCCCATTTGTCTCCATTAATTAAAGAAGGTGAAGTTCATCCTGGTACAGAGAACTGGAACAAAGCTATGTCTCCCCCAGATTTGAGAGGTAAAAGCCCTGTGCTGGTCTAATAGCGAGGAATACATTTCACACACAGTGGCCTCAGGCAGGTGTACAGACTAGAGACATGCTTCTCACTGTTGCATCAGGGCCACCTTGAGTGAGGTGAAGGGAGATGAATTATGAGTTTCTAAACCCTTTTTGCAGAACAGTGCCAGTGAGAGGGCATGCTTACACCCCTACAAATCAATCTCCCCTTTTCATTGCTTACTGGCTGATGGTCATTTTCCACTCAAGTTAATGGAAACTGGAAACTTAAGCAGAAAGTCAGTTGAAGTTCCTAGAATCACTCACTTTGCAGGATGCTTTTAGCCAGTGCTTTGAAATACAGCCTTACCATTAGCTGATGGAATGACTTCAGTCTGTAAGATGTAAGACAGGATGTTCTCCAGAAGTGAGATCTGCCATAGACAAGAAAACCGAGTTAGCCATCAGGTCCTTATGGTGGTAGAACTGTCATGCCCTAATCCTGGATGGAGTTAGTAGACTCATGTTCAACTTTCAGCTCTCATTTGTCCCAGAAGAATCGTAAACTCAAGTGAACACTGGATCTTAAGTCTTTGGAAAGCAAAGCAAGCGAGATGCGAAATGCAAATTGTTTTCATTGTGCCTGGACAATGTTTTCATTTAAAACAGTCTATTTCCTTTATTTGTGAGATGATTTATCACCAATAACAAAGCAGGACCAGAACAGTTTTAATCCTTCCTCCTCAGCTACTCAGAACTGATTGATTGAACTCAGAAACAAATGACTCTCTGAGGAGGCAGAGTTTTCCCCTGTAGGGCTACAACTGCACTATTTCAGGCATCTGAGCCCAGTCTGTTGGCTCCCATTCCCTGCTGTAATTCTGAGCATCTGTGATGAGCGCCACTGCACCACATGGAGTGCCTCTGCCTCAGCTGCGTGTGATCACTTGGTCAGCCAGCACACAGCTCTGTCTGCTGCATTTCACCATTATGAGTCAGGAGATCTCTCTGCTTACTGATGAAATGTGATACAGCAGTCAGGGAAACTACAGAATATCTCTTTTGCAGAGCACTAACTTGCCCCAAAGAATATACTTTTAAGTCCACAGCAGAGAGGTGGCTGCCAGAAGACAGGAAAAGAGCCACCCAGGAATGAAGCCAAATGATTTAGAAATACAAATAAAATTTAGCTGCTTACTCTATAGTTTTGATATCACGAATGTTTCTGATTTGCATTTCCTATGTGCTTAAACTATCTGCTTACCTCAAAAAAGCCAACATTGGAGTGGGCTAAGGAGAACTGGAGTCTGAGGGAAAGAAGTGAAACAAGATGAGTCACTGGAAAGGATAAACACATTATTTCAGTCATGTGCTCACCGCTAGAGAGCTCCAGGCCTTAAGAAATGTCTGTAAAGAGACTTTGGAAGCAATACATTTCACACAATACATACTGCCTTGTAGAGAAAGATGTGGTTTTCTTAGGATATTGCTGAGCACATATGCAAAAGAGAATGCTAGAGGGACTGTAGCCAGCAATGTGAGTGTTTCTCCCTCTGTGCTGTATTTTGGAAATCCTACTGACAATTAACTTTACCAGGGCTTTTTTATCAAGGACTTTCAGGCTCTTGGATATTTTGCAAGGATTTTGGTACATCTACATAATGCTTTGATGTGAACCTTACTGGGGTGGGAAGAAAAATTCTGTTCGTTGTGTAGTACTGCTGCTGATGGTTGTGTTGCTAATGTCCCTATTTCCAAATTCAAATACTTACTTGGTACATATTCAAGTATCCAAAGATGTCTTCAAAACATGATTTCTTTTCTCAGAAAGAGCATCTCAGCTTTCAGCACAATCTAGATTTTTCTCTCTGAATGTTACTGGAAAAAAAATGCTAACAGCACCATCCTCCTTAAATTCCTGACATTTCTGTGCCCTGATAAACTCCGCATATTTTTAACCCTGTAACTGTCTTCCCACGGGACTTCTGTGATATCAGGGTCCCAGTTCCCAGCTGTGAGGTCCTGGTATACAGAGGTTCTCTCTATAAAATGTGAGATGTTAGATGTCTAAATGCCCAAGCCTCTGGTCTCCAGCTTTCTGACCCTTGGGAGTTTCCATTTTAGCTGGAAAATCTCTGCTGTAAGAATATGTCCTGGTTTGAGCTAAATAGAACTAATTTCCTATTTAGTGATTTTACTTTTCAGCTCAGTCTCTTCTAAGTGGCTGAACTTGCTGAAAGACTAGCAGAATGTTTTTCCCAGACAGTGTGTACTGACAATGTTCAAGGCCAATTGTCTCACCATGGGTGCCATGTCTGCGTCTATGGGGGGGAGCAGACCCAAAACTGACCAATGAGGTATTCCATCCCACATACGTCATACTCTGTATAAAGCTGAGGGATCACGAGGGTCCGACCCTTCTTCCATCTTGGAGCCCTTCTGTCTTAGACCCTTCCGTCTGTCTCAATTCTGCAGTGGCTGATGAACTAGCAGGGTTCTGCTCAGACATCAGCCTCTGATCCTGATTTGTGTGTTCCTGCATCCTGCTCCTACCTGCTGCTGAGTTTGGTCTGGGACTTTTCCAGTGCCCGGCTCCACAGAGCCTCTGGTGATGTACTCATCATTGGAGGGGAGGATTTTTATATTGGTTTTGTACATATCTGCATATATTTCATTATTTTCCTACTTACATTATTATCCTGTATTATTAGTATTGTTTTATTAAATGTTAGTTTTATTTTCCAACCTGTAAAGTCTCTCTCCCTTATTCTCTTTTCTCTTCCCTTCTGGGGTGGGGAGAGGGGATAATAGCGAGTGTCTGTCCAGGATTTAGTGGCCAGCCCACCCGTAAACCACGACAGAATATCAGTGGAGGGGAACTTCAGGGGTCCAAATTCTTTACCATGTCTTGGACACCTCTGCACTTTCCTAGTGGCACAGGTGGGCTAGAAAGCAGTTGCATCTCGCCAGCTGGAAAGCGAGGAAGGAAGCTCTCAAATGATTAATGATCATAAGTGCCCTGCACACTTCACTTAGGTAGCTCAGAGGGGAGAGTAGATGTCAGGAGCAGAGTATTCTAGTGAGACCAGTACCCTGCAGCAATCCACAGCTGGTGGACAGTCCCTTGGGGACTGTGGCAATTGTTACAGAGAAGCTTCCTGACAGCTCTAAACTGTACAAGTACAGCCACAGAGAATTAGAGAATCTAATGCAGATGAACTCACCAGGAAAACACGTTCATTGAACTATGGTTATCTGATCATGTGCCTAAACTGCTAATGTTGGGACTGCTAATTCTGTTTTCCAAATGGCTAGAAATCCTTTCTATCCCAGGCTGGATTACCTGTTCAAACAGAGTGAGCCCATCAATTTCTGGTCAAATATATTCAGAGCAATGCTGGTGTTGGCTGCCTGCAGAAGAGAGAAACCATGGGTTAAGCATGCACAAAAAACCCCCAGAACTCTTGCTGGGAATTAGTCACAAATACAGAAATACTATCTTGGTTATGTATGGAAGCTGTTTCATGTAGGTGCGACTTTCTCCCTAGCCCACAGCCCCTGCAAGGCTGCACACAGTAAATGTCTGCTTGTCTGAATGGCCCTGACAAGAGCTGAAATGTAGATAATGAGATTTCACAAATCAAAGACATTTTCAGTTAAATGAACAAGCTGCCAAGAGATGTGGACTCATGCCTGCAGAACTGTCATGCCAGAGAACAAAACTTTGGTTAATCAGGGTCACTATATGTTTGGATTTTTGTCCATAGAAGTGTTCTATATGTTAAGTGTGGCCACATAGGCACCACCTGCGACTAAGGGGAAATTGCGTGTTTAAGTACTAGAAACCTGGTACTTTGTTTCATATAAAGAGTTTTGACAGAGGGAAGGAACAAACATCTTTAAACATGAGTTAAACATCACCTTGTTCATTGTACTTACTATGTTCATTGTGAACAATAACTGGGTGGCTGCGTCTGGAAGAACAGCAAACACCTCCATGGAGCCCTGAATCTCTGCCGTGAAGGAATCCTGCTCTAAGCTGATGATGGGTGTTTCAGTAGCCATTAGCTTCAACATCACTGGGTAGGGTGTAACTGAATATTTGGCTACCTGTAACATTCAAAGACAAAAAAAAAAGACTGAAAAATGCTTTTCTTGTATGACAGATCAGAATATTACATTTTCTCATTCTTGAAGTGGTCATTTTGAAATAGTTCCTTAAGATGAGTTTAAGGACAGCTGCTAACATAAGATTCTTTCAAGCAAGCAGGAGGTAAAGTTTTCTGTGGTGATAAACAAACAGTCTTGGCCACATCAGGAATGTGGTGGAAAGTTCCTTCCACTCTAAGGATACAGTTTCTTCTATATCACTTTGAAGGAAATTAAATATTCATTTGTGAACATAGGAAAGGAATGGAACAGAATGTGGTGTTTCAGTCACACAATAAAAAGAGCTCAGGAGTCATTCAGTTTGAGATTCATCTCATGAGACAGGTTCCTGCTCTGGACTGTCCTCAGAGGAGCCTCACTCTGTTCATTGCCTGAAGAGCAAGTAGGTTCACTGAGTTTATTACATTACAGAGGGGGTGAAATACTAGCATCAATGCTCATGGCATTTTATGGGAAGATCATGTGATGACTGCCCTTGGAGCATTCTTAGATTGCTTAAGAAGGAACTTAATATCATCCAGGAAACAAACAAGGATGTGAAGCTCTTCAAACAACAAGTCCATTTTCATCCATCCTTTGCAGTCACAGCCTAGGGTCTCCTATGCTTATTTTTGGTTTCTCATTCTGTCTGAGAAGGCTGGTGAAAGACATGCATGCTCATATTCTCTGCTCTATTAATCTCCTCCACCTAAAATAAATGTAAAACCCGTGCATCTGCCTTGTCTGTTCCACAGATGTAATGACTAGCAGTGAAGCAAAGACAATTATGCAGGTTTGGGCAGGAAAAAGGTGTTGTTTCTGAGCTGAAGCTCTCTCAGAAGTCCCTCAAAGCAGACTCATGGCTGGAAGCTTTTTCCTGCCCAGAGCTGGTTTTAGGTGGGAATAGCTGTGGGTTGGCCACAGTGCTCAGGGTAGAAATTGATGCGTGAGATTATCGGCCAAATTTGGTAACAGTGCAAGTCATCCAAATCATTGTGGCAGTGGGAGGTGACAAGACCCATCTGCTTTGCCATTGTGAGGGATACATATGCCTGCTTCTCCAGTGCAAGAGCCCTGCTGGTCCTACAAGCCTTAGCAGTGAGGTGTCTGACATCCACACTGAATGTTTCCTAAGAATTTGTGGAAGTAATGATACTCACCTCAGGGATGATACTGCCAAATATCTCTGTGCTTATATTGAAATAGCTGCAAGTCTAGAGAAAGAAGAAAAAAAGAGAAAAGAAAAGAATTTACCAGATTTTAAACTTCATGGTTGGTTTTTGTTTAAATGAACTATTATTGTCATTTCAATGAATTTTTGACTTTGTACATTTTGTTCTCAGAAATATTCTTAAGGGAATAAGTATACTTAAAGATAATTCAAAATACTATATGTCAAAATACTTCCTGGGAAAGCAAATGCTTAATAATCGTAATAGTTTGTGCTGCAATGCTCCTAGAGAGAGGTTAGCCAAGTCTGACAGCCTCCAAGCCACAGCTACTGTGCTTCAACATATACTTTGCTTCTGTGGCCCCTGTAGTACTTTCAGTCTGTGAAGACCCCTCAGAAAACAGCCACTGAGGCTGCTAAATTCACCAGAGTAGATCCTTTGTCCACATCAGAGAAGTCTGTGCCTCAGGTCTATAGAAACCTTCTTTTCTGTAGCAAAGTTGCCAGTATTTGGTACCTTCCTCAGTGGAACTTGGCAGCCCTGTGGCCTGAGGTATCTATATAGAACATAATAAAGGGGCATAACAGTACCCTGGCATTTATTGTCTACTGTCTCAGCACTTTGCAGGCCAATTGGCACATACTGTCAGCTGGCAGATCAAAGCCCCATCTTGGATGGCCTGAACCACTCTGATCCTGTTCCTGTGTTCTACTCACCTCCTCTGTAATGGTGATGTTGAAGGCCCCTGCTGTGTAGTAAGCAAATGAGGAGGTCTGGAAGAAATACTCTGAGAACACAAGGGAGAGCATGGAGTCGCTTTGGTCTGGAATAGTGAAGGGGGCTGCCACATAGGGAGGGTCAGTATAGTTTCCAGCTGGGTAGACTACTCCCTGAAAGGTATTGGCAGAGGAAAAGAAAACAAAACAAAAAAAACCCAGAGTCAAACTATTACTTTAAAGTGACTGCAGAGAATTACCACTACTTTTCTTTCCCTTGCTCAAGCTATTCCTTTGTAATATGCTCTGAAGCCTCAGTGCTTTCTAGCAGGTGGTGAAGACAAGTTCCAGAGATTGAATGCCTTCACAGATGATACCTCAGATCTGTCTTTTGAGGTACTGATCACCTACTGAAGACAGTTTACCATCTCTGAAAACAAACCCTCTTAATTAAGGGTCTACATGTTGAATGAAGAGCATGACTAAGGCTCCTCCTTATTGAAAAGACTTAATTTCTCCTTATCTCCAGGAATTTAAATCTGAGAACTGCTGCCTAGAGCTTTCCAATGGTCTCAGTTACAAGATGTATTCCTAAACCCAGAGGCCTTTCTAGCTCAAAATCAGCACCTTATTATGCCCAGAATAAAGTCGTCAACTTGTGCAGGCAAAAGAATGCCTATGCGAGAAAGGAAAGTCATGTCAGCCAATCCTAAAAACATCTATCTTGACTTCTGCATTACCCATGGCTTGCAGACATAATACTTCCAAATACATCCAGATGAAGCAAAAAAGGTAAAGCTTATTTAAAGTAAGCAAGGTACTCAGAGTTTGAGATTTTTTTATATCCCTTTTATTAGTTCTCCCTTTCTCTTTAACCTCAAAATGTCTTTTTTTCTATTTTCTCAGATCCTCCCCATCATTTTCTAAATTTTGTGTTGCCTTTTTAGGGCTATCAGAACAAAAAATGCTGAGTCACTTCGCTGATGACCTCCCCATTCAATCCTCACTTGCTGGATTTACCAGTCTTTGCATCTTCCCCCCCAACATTGCATCTTATGTAGGAGAGTAGCTCTTGAAAACAGCCATGACATTACCTCTTCAGCCTACCTCAAGGACCTGTTTAAAATCTGGTTGCAACAATACCCAGGAGCGCTTGACTGCAGCCGCAGAATTGGTGTACCAAGACCGTTGTCTCCCATACCGACTGACACTGGCTGAGCGTTCCTGCCTCTCATTTCCCTTTTGTCTCTTACTAATGCTTAACTTCCAAGATCTTTGTGACAAGACTGTCTTTTTGTGCTCCCTTTGTAAAGCACCTAGCATAAGATGTCTTGAACTTAGTTAAGGATCTTAGATACTATGATCATAATAACTGCCCTCAAACAGATGACCTTACACAGCATGACAATTAAGTCATTATAGAATTAGGAAATAGTCTGATTTTAGTTTTAATACATAAGTAGATTTTTTTCTTTATTTGAAAGAAACTTTCAGGTCTGAACTCAGCAGCACTCCTTGGGCTCCCATGCTTTTTCAAGGGTGTTTTCTCTTCCCATTTAAGGTGCCATAGACTTAATTCTTGCTCCTACAGTCTTGCTCGCTCTTTTCCTCTCATCTGACAGCAGACACATCTAGTTAGTGCAATGTGTAGAGATCTTCCCCTGACTGACTGAACAAAGAAACCCCAGATATTAATCAACAGTGAGAGAAGGATGAAGTTGAATACCTTCCCCCCACTTTGTTCCCTTTCTCTTTTTTCTTCTAGCTTGGTTATTCAACTTTTACTGCTATTTCCTATAACCAACTCAGCGGCAATTAAAAAAAAAAGGATGTGGCTTTTAAATAATTCTTTTACAACAGGATTGTTAAAAATTATTACAATAACTAATGCAATAGTGCTTTGAAATGTCTGTCTTCTCAGTTACTGAGTCCTAATGTTCAGAACAGCAATCATATTCATCTTAAATTGGATCATACAATAATAAAAACTACAGCAATCCTGACAAATAGTACTACAGGCAATTACCTTTAAGTCCAGGTCAACAAATGTTTGCAGTACTGCTGGCAAGCTGTTTAAGGAGTAGTCTACTTCAGCCAAATCATCAATCAGCATTGGGACTGTAAGGGTGGTAGATAAGGCAAAATATCCAGTATTACAAAAAGCACAGGAAGAATTTTATGTATACTTAGAACTAAGTCAGTTCCTGAAGGTTGACAACACAAATTGTTCCTAAGAGTAGGGAAAAACACAACCAAAAACCTCCTAATATGCATTCTGACTTAAGGCTTAACGTTTCTACTGGTACCTTCTTTAAAGAACCTTCTTTACTTTGTTTAATGTTCTCTTATTGTGGAAAAGTAAATTTGGTCTAACCAAAAAAAGGAAGTGGCCGTACCAGTGCTTCAGGGCATAAGGAGATATTGGGATTTCTTTGTCAAGGGTGCCTTCAACTTGCAAATATTTTCCCAGAAAGGTAGGTGTCTGATCTGCGTAGGTACTTGTGTTTTGCACATGATATCTGTCCAACACTTTGAGTGTCTTAAATACCAGCAAATCTAACCCAGAATGGTTAAAGTGAGAAGCTTTTTTACAAAGAGGCTTTTTCATCTTGCCTTTGGTAAGTGTGATAAATAGGCAAGTAAATCTTAAATCTCCAGGCAGGCAAAGAGAGCAGGCTTCAGCTTGTAAAGTGCTATGTGTGCAGGAGGGCTCAGAGAGTGGGAGGGAAGGGAAAACTGCCTTCACATCAGTGCTGTGTGGCCTCTGAGTGGCATTTTTGACAACAGAGGTGTACACTGCCACATTTGCAATTTAAGAATCACTCCCAAGTCCTTGGCTTGTCAGAGATACCATTGTCTTTGTCCAAGTAGCCCTCTCTTTATTTAACTGTGGTCCAGTAAGCAAGGGAGCAGACAGATCAGAGGGTGTGATACTGCTCCTGGAGGCTTTGCTCACCAACTGCTGTTAAGGAAGCTGCAGAATTTCACTGAAGAGGAGATACAAAGCAGAACAAAACAATATCATTATTGACTCACCATTCAGTGATCGGAGGTCTTCATCTATCAACTGGATCCCAGATCTGATGTTGGGACATGACTGTACAAAAGCACACACAAGTTATGGCCTGGTAAGCGTGGACCTGTAAGCACCTCTTAATCTGTGTACTAGCAAATCTTTCTGCTTACATAACACACATTGCAGTTTTTTTTCAAAGCACTTAAACTACCTGTTCTTCATCTAACTGGTTCCCCAAGGTTTCCACTTGGTGCATTTCTATGATTTAATGTCCCATATCAGAGCTGCCTTTAGGCAGCAAAATGGGAAGTTGCCAAAAGCAGCCTGATGGGGGTGACAAAACCACAGCCTTAAAGAGCACAAGGAGACAGAGCTCTCACGTTGGTCTCGCAGGAGAGATCCCTGTCTTGAGGCAGAATCACAGCCATCTCACACTCTTTCTCCTCTGAGAGGCCCTAGGCAGGTTGTTATCTGCACTACTTACCCCTTTGATACGGTGAAGTCTAAATATGTCATACCATCAGGTGATGTACTATAACTTCTCTATGCATCACGCAATATATGTTGTGTCTGCTGAGTATAAAAATTACCCCAAAACCACGGTGCCTGCAGGTACACAGGCAGAGACTCATTCTGCATTGGAATGGGAAAATAAAATTTTCCAGCCCTACTGATGCCTTGGTTGGACTTTGCTGTGAACTAGCCAGTATATTGGAAATGAACTTGCCACTTTATCTGGAAGCATTTCTGGCTTGCAAATAGGTGACTGTGCTGATCAGGACAGAATAGAACTATATTATTTTTCTAGTTCTTCCTTTGCCAACTTCACAGCACTGACTTGTGAAAGTCATTCTCCTTAAACACCTTCCCCCTTTCTCCTCCCCACCACAATTTGAGAGGCTTACATTAGTGACCAAGCTCCTGTGAATGGGCTTCTTCAGGTACTTGATAAAGAAGTTATGCAGGAAGCTAGAGGAAAGGAAGAAAACAATTAATGGCTCAAGTACTACAGTCATTAACAGGGAAGCAGATATCTCTACAGAACATTAATTTAATGGTCTCCCAGTGTGATATTTTAGTACACAAGGGAACTTTCTGAAATGTAACTACTATCAGAGAGCCACCATTTAAAAGGAGATAATTTCACCACTAGGCATCTCAGCAAGTAGCCTGGGTAGATTCACATTTATGAATAATTCTTGATATTACCACCATCATGTATGTACAAACACACAATAAATAAGTAGTCTCTACACTAGGACCTTCGAATACAAGTAAAACCAAACTAAAATCAGGTGACAAGAGTTGTATTCAGACAGTGGGAGAAGTACAAGAAAACAATGAGATAATGTTGCATTGTGTTGTAACCAGAGGTACAACAGACAGCAGTCTGGTTCTGTTCAGTTTTGATAGCACTGTGATTAGGAGTACTCAAAGCATAGTACAAGCATGTAACCTTAGAGTTGAAGATTAGAGCAGTATTTGAAAAGAAGTGAGTGCTGAAGCAGCACAAGGGATTGTTTGATGCAGTCTTTATCCTCTATTCAAGTGACATTGTGCTCAAATACAAGAGCACATGTCAGTTTTCATCATTTTAACACCGGATTAGGGCCTTAATTCTCACCTGTGGTACCTATAGACACCTAAAAGCAATTCTGGGTGCCCTGTTTTTTGAGGCTGTCTGTGCCATTCATTGACAGTTATTTTCTCCCAGAATATATACAAATCTCTTCCACTTACCCACTTTTCCCATTCAACTTGATGTCTATATCACCAGAAGTTGTGCGACAGCTGGTAAGTGCTATTGATGTATGACCACTCTTATCCACGGGTGTTGAAAAGATTGCAGTAACGAACACCTTTGAAATGTACACTGTGCTGCTTCCGGTGTCTTTGCTGCATAAAGTAGAAATAAAGAAATAACTGAAAGAACTATTTTTAATGAATGTTTTAAGACTCAATTCTTAAATTAATTTTTTGTTCACTGAGGATGAAGTTGTTTATCTGAATACTTTTTATTGCTCATAGTGAAAATAGCTTCTGTCTGCAAATAATCAAGTATTCCACACATTTCCAGCTAGGAGTTTTGGAAAGTGATGAATTTGGGAAAGTACATAATTCAGTGTTGTAAAGTATTTTGTTTGTGCTACCAGACCTGCCCACACAGCAGAGGGAACTGGGATATGCCATGAATATGATAGAAGACAGGGCATGAAAGCTGTACTGGGATCTAATCTATCGGTGTCTGAGGAAGGGTCCATACAAACCCATGTCAGGGTCTGGAGTGCCCCAATGAGCTGGGTTACTGATACTACCTGTTAAAGAGCACCTTTGCCATGAAGGGGTCACAAGGAAAACAAAAAACTTTGCATTTTTTTAATATATTCTTCATCAAGAAAAATGCCAGGACACACGAGTCTGTACATACAACATCCAGGTCCTTATGTTCCAGTTCATATCAATGGTTAGAGAAGCATTTCCAATCACCAGCTTTATCCCAGTCCCAGGTATGAGGGAGATGGAAGCACTGGGAAATTCAACAGCAGTGACATGTATTCTAGAGCATGAGGGAGATAAGGGTGGGAAAAGAAAAAAAAAGGAGAAGTTTGCATTTCACAAGTCAGTGTGAACACAAAACAAGATTCAAATTTCAGATTGGTTCTGGAGAGAATACTTACCTTGAGATGTTGTATTTGACATTACCAAGCCCATATTTCTCATAGCCACTCAAATCAGGGAAACGCTCCTTCTCCATATTCCGCTTCAGGATTTCCAGCCCAACTTCCTTGGCTAGAGGAGAAGAGTAATCAGTTCAGCTGCCTTTGGTACTGCCTAGGAGTTTATAGTTATGTGCTTCTGGCTTAGGAGATGGGATGGACACAGAGTCAGAAAGAAGAGGGTATCTCATTTGAAACCCAGCAGTGCTATTTCAGATCTCACTGGCAAGAGTTGAACTTAGTGATTCAATATCTGAAATCAAATAAGCCTTGATATGATGTATAATGCTGTCAAGCAGCTTACTGTATCTGCTATATTGCACTCTTAAACATTCTTTTACTTTATAGCCTGTAATCAGACCATTTCCTCCCACTGCCGTTGCTTCCCAAGATGTCTGTCATGCCAGGATTCAATGCAATACTACCACTAGATCCAAAAAACATCACACATACCATATTCCAACCCCTTCTGAGTGATCCTCACTTTGACTCCAGGGCTGGCATTGATTTGCCCTCTGAGCAAACTTAAGAGGAGGAGAAAGCAGCAAATCTTCATCATCTTCCTTGTTTTTCACAGGACCTGTTAATAAATATTTGTAATGGTAGTAGAAGGTCATGCTATGCCATGTGGTGGCTGTAAGCCCTTTTCCCTCCCTGGAGAGAGCTGTTTTGACACCAGCTTTCCCTCCAGAATGGAGGAAGTGGAAAGCCCAGCAACCATGGAAGAGAGGACCTGTTTTGCACAGACTGACAGAAATAGGAATTGAGCTCCTTGGGATAGAGAAGAAAAGTCAGCTCATTCACTGTCACAGGGAGTGGAGACATCATTTTGGATACAACCTCCAATTCTGGATACAGACCCTGTTGAAAGGGAGGTGGCAATGAATTTTTAGGCTGTATTTTTTTTTCTCCTCCAGTTAGTGAAATAAATGGCTTCCCCCGCCTTGCACTCCCCAAATGTATGGAGCCCTCAGTGCCTCCTGTTGATTCAGCTGTTGTCACTGGGTCTTAGCACTTTGGAAAAGATGATCAGCTCATTTAGTTATAGACAGATACACCCACTTTAGGATCCACTTACTAAGATCTTAGCCACAACTTTGAGAAGCCACTTATGCTCCTTCCCAACAGTCAACAAAAGGATTTTGTGCCAGCAATGTTTTTGTATCACCTAGTCTGCATGTTAGCAAATGCATTAAGTTTTATCTAAAAAACCCTCCTTGTAAGCTTCATGGTCAAATGAATATTTATTTTTGCTTTTTTTTTTTCTTTTTCATTCCCATTAAACCACTTTTTTGCCCATGGAGAACTACAGCCTGGCTCTCCATTCACAGAAAAGGACATCAGTGTTCAAAGTATTTCATAAGAACAAATTAATAAATGCAACATAGGCACGTTTACTAATAATTTACATATTACTGCTAGTCCTGTTTCCCATAACTTGTTTGGGCTCATCAGCAATAGACTCTACTTTTTTATCATCTTCTCTCAGAAAATTTTAAGGGGTTACTCATAGCCTGGGACAGTGACTTAATGTTTAGACAAAAAAAAATTATCATTCACAGAAGGTTTTCCTTCCCCTATATACTTGGGTGTGACTGCCTTTGTTTAATTAGAACCATTTAAAACTTAGATCTCTCATCTAAGACAGTTGTCTTTATAGCAGAGAGGGACACATCCCACCTATCTGCTCTTCTTCCTCCTCTAACTACAGGATTCAATGTCTAACTCTGAGGTGGGTCAAGGTAGGTAAGCTTAACCTATGCCAGTTACATATATATATAAATATATATATATAAAATATATATTATATATATACACACTGTAATGCATGTATTATGTGCTAGTGGTAACCTATCACTGTACAGCTGTGGGGTGATCCTTCAATTAATGGGGAGCCCCCACAATGCCTGGTCATTCTTCACATAGAGAAGCTGCTCCTAAAGACGCAGATAGATGCCTTCTGAAAGACACTCATCTTTTGGGTGATGCCAGTAAGTAACTTGCCAATAATCAGGGACAATTCACTGTCTGACAGGAAGTTCTGCTAATGGCAGCTTTTCTATAATACTGTGAGGAAGACCTGCCACTCCCTTTGATGTAATGAAAAAACTAACAGCACACATGACCCATTCACCTCCCCAAAAAATCCCAACCCCCCTAAACAAGTGGAAACCCACAATAAAGAAAAGGTATGGGTGGCATCACTGACAGGCTATGAAGCAGATGATCACTTGGCTCTCCCTGGCTTTTCATGCATGTCACACAGCAATCCTCACTGGCTCTACAGGATTTACCATAGAGGCAGTGATAACATAGAAGCAAACTCCCATCACAGGGGCTTCTGTGTCAGGAGCTATGCTGTATGAACCATGAGCTGCATGTAGTGCGAAGGAAGCTGTTGCTACCAGCAAGGTCTCACAGGGAGAGTGGGAGAAGCCAGCTTGTTTAAGAATTTTAAAATCAAACTGGACAAAAATCAAAGGATGATTTTATTTTCTCCCCAGAGCTGGGAACAGTCCTCTGTGGAGTGCTCTCATCTGAGGCTGAGAGTATGAATGGCAAACAGGTCACATTATTATGGTTTTTCTTATTACCAGCTACTACACTGCATTATTGATAGCTGAAAATATATGACAGTCTCTTTTTTAGCATTACATTTATGTAAAAAAATTCTTATTTACCACAGAGTTGTTGGAGAGCTGGGATGAAACCATCTAGAGACAGACAATTGTCTCTCTCCTCATACCAGAAAAATTGTTTTGATGTTGCTGCATCTTTCACTAGCTGGTCCATTATCAGATGTAATAACATATCTCAAACCTCTAAAATATTTTCAGTCACAATCACAATTTAAGCAAACTGCAAAATTATGAAAAAACATTGACTTTTTGTGTAACAGTTTCAAGTAATCCCACAAAACACCTTTGCCTTTTAGTAAGACTTGCATTTCCTTTTAAATTTTAGCTAACAAAAATTGAGAGGTGAAAGAAACATTTCATGTACAGAACAAAAACAAAGTGCTGAAGAAAGTATGTCTTTGACATAAGCATAGTTCTTATAACTTAAAATCTCAACATTTAGCTAGATTAACTACATCTATCTCTTCCCAACAAAGCCACTCCACAACAAAAAGTAATCACAATGTATTTGCTACCATACCTCTCTACTCCAAAGGCCGAAGAGAAGACCCTTACTGTACCAGACCACAAGGCTGAGGATGCTGCAGGGAGAACCCTCTGCAGCCCCAACCCCGTCTTTTAAAGGAAAGAGCTGTGAGCTTGAAGAGAGCCAATTGCTGCCAACTTCAGCAGTATCACTCAGGGAGTGGCCTCTCCACCAATCATGACCCAAACTATTTTTGAGTGTCCCAGGTTAAATCTATCACTCTAATTTCATTTAGAGACTAAGCAGATGGCAATGTAAACTGTTAGGTAGGGATGCTCAGGGTGATATGCTGCTTTTGCAGCATACCATTTTGCCATTGACTTTTCAGATGGACCTGAGAGGACACCCCAGTGGAGACTCTATTCTGGTAGTTCTACAGGACTAATACTCATAGTCAGATATGTATTTTGAAAGAAAGAAATGAATGTGCTACTGCCAGGAAGAACAGATGGAAAACAACAATATGATAGTGTATATATATACACATGTGTATATATATGGTGCAAATATATAGTATCAATTCCTTGCAGTCATATTTTCTGTTTCTTCTGCTTACTTATCCAGTACTTTAGCTAACCAGGACTACTTCACTTGTCAAGGAGGTGATTTAATCAATTAGCTTGCATGTAAACCAAACAAATTCCCTCAGGCGTGGAGCACTTTGCGGGACAATCTGAGTCACTTCATTGTGCAACCCATGAATAGAAAGGGGTAGAGACACTTGTCAGTCAGTCCACAAATACTCATACTTTACATAGATTTAACATTCATTGCAGGGAGTCACATGCATAATAATGTCATTATTTATATCTCTGACAACTGTGGATGAGTAAAACTCGCGTTTATTCAGTTAAATAAACACATCCTTAAAATTTTTTGGAGTAAGTTGTGCAGTTCCTTCAAAGCAAGGGAAAAGCTACACTGTTTCTGTCCACGTAGATCTCAAAGATTTACGAACAACTGAATTGTCTGAAAACTATCTCAGCTTATCCTCATCATATTCTTTTAACATTTTATGGTTCTTCTAATGAGTACCACCCAGTTTAGATAAAACTTTCAGCAAAAGTTAACAAAGACACACTAAGGCTTCCAGAACAGTTTCATCATTTCTCTCTACAAATACAGCAGTAAAAGCCAAGTATCTGCTTGCAGACACATTCAGATACCACATTCAGACACGCAATAAATAGTTTCTACATCCAAACATTTCACCTTTCAAGGTGTTACAAAGAGTTTCTAAAGGGAATGTTTAATTTCCATTTTCTCTATTGAGCCACCAAGTATTTGCTTCATTCTATATGTTAAAGGAGATAGAGATTGAGATCCTTTTTACCCAATATACAAGAAAACAAATGAGCTTATCAGTGTGGCAATCAATGGAGACTTGTTGCTGCATCTCTGCAGATCACTTTTGGCTTTGCATGATTCCGGTTGTTGCCTCTGTCTCAGTGCTTTAGTGGACTCCTTTCCCCACCTCCCCAATTCTCTGCCTCCCCAATTCTCCCCTTTCTCCATGCGCTCTAGTCTGTGGCACACTGAGTGATGTGCGTAATTTCCCTTGTTTCTGTCTATTGGGAAACAGTACTAGATCAACAATGGTATACTGACCATAGTATAGGCTGATACAGGAGAACTGTTGGTGTATACAGCATCCTATTTAGTCCTAGGAGAAACAACTGCTTTGTTTGTGAACAGCCAGGGGACTAGAGCTTAAAGAGCAGTGTTGTGTTCAGCCATGGCTCTGGTCTGAAAAGAAGAGCCATGGCACTCATTGGTTGGTCCTGGAAGAGGTGTCCCAGTGGGAGTGAGAAGAGATGGGCACCAAGACTTTAGTGCTGTTTTTCCCCGTTTCATGAATTCTTCCCCACATAGGCAGAATAAAGTGCCTGAAGTGTTATCAATGAAGGACACCAAACTATTAAAAAATCTCCATTTCTTTTGAGTTCTTCTTCTTCCATGCTTTTTCTAGTCAGTCTTCACCTACCACAGAATACAATGAATTGGAAGCCCTGCTGTGATTTACTGCTGTTCGGTTTCAGGAAGATTTTTTTAGTAAAAAACTGCAGCAGCCAGCTAGATAAATAAACTGTTTCAACTCAAAATCAAGTGCAAGTCACATTTTTGTCTCAAATTGGAACTGAACTTTCTGTACTGTGACACTTATAGACTAGTTTTCCTTTCATATGCTTTTAGTATCTCCTGGTTGAATGTCTGTGATGACACTGACATAAGACAAAAGAAAGCTTCCAGCTCCATTTTACAAATATGAGAGGTACAGAATTATTTGAAGACTGACACCTTCAAAGAGCTGCAGCTACTCACAAACAGAGAAGAACTTCTGGATGATGTAAAGGCTAAGGGCACTGAGCATGGGACTGTGGAGTTTCAGATCCTGGGAGGAGCAAGAAAGACAAAGAACAGAATTACAGCCATAGACTTCAGATGAGCAAATTTCAGGGACTGGCTTGGCAGGATCTGTGGGAAGTTGACCTGGAGGCCCAGAAAAGCTGGCTAATCTTCAAGGGTAGCCGCCTTAGAGCATAAGAACGGTCCATTACAATGTTCAGACAGTTGAGCGACTGTGGCTGAAGGCCAGCATGGAGGAACATGAAGCTCCTGAGTGAACTCAAACACAAAATGGAAGCATACTGTGGATGGAAACTGAGACCAGCTACTTGGGAGGAACACAACGATATTGCTTGCGCATGTAGGAATCAGGTCAGGAAAGCCAAAGTTCAGTTGGAGCTGAAATTAGTTTGGGAGGTGAAGGGCAACAGGAAAGGTTTCTGTAAGTACATTGCTAGCAAAAGGAAGGCTAAGGAGAATGTGGGCTTATTGCTCAGTAGACTGGGGAACTAGTGACAAGAGACATAGAAAAAGCCATTTTCACTGCTGTGGGTGCTGCCTCATTCCCACAGACCCTGCTAGGAACAGAGTGAACTGGGAGGCCAGAGGACAAGTTTTGCTAGTGAAAATGGCTTTTTCTATGTCTCTTGCATTTGAAGTACTGTGTCCAGTTTGTACTCCTCAGTATAAGAAAGAGATTGACATCCTGGATCAAGTCCAGCAGGTGCCACCAAGGGACTGGAGAACATGACCTACAAGAAGAGTCTGATAAATCAGGCCTGCTCAACTTGGAGAACAGAGGACTTGAAAAACCCTTCAGTTGTCTACAACGTTTTGATCAGAGTGCAAGAGAAAATGGAGCCAGACTCTTCTTGGAAGTGTGTGGTGAAGGGACAAAAGGCAACAGAACAAGTTGGAGCATGGGAAATACTGATTAGATAGCAGGAAAAAAAAATTGCTCTAAATGTAGTTAAATAGTGGAACAGGTTGCCCAGAGAGGTTGTGGAACGTCCATCCTTGGAGGGGTTCAAGACTCGTCTGGACACAGCCCTCAGCAACCTGATCTAATTAGCCCTGTTTTGAACCAGGGTCTGGACTAGATTATATGATTCCACAATTCTGTGATAATTATTTAGATTTTCTAAATCCATTCTCAAATGTCAAATTGTTAAATTCTTACAAAGAGTAAAGTCTCACTCTGTGTGTAAAGTTTTGCTAACATTAATGGAGATAAATGAATAATGCAAGAACTGGTTCCTGAAATTAGTAAAATGTAGTGTCTATAGTGAAAAGAACCAGTTACTCCTTCTCGTCAGGCTGCAACTAGTTTTGTAAAGCATCAGTAACACTGTCAGCAACACCCACTGTACTGGAAACAAACAGATTCAGATTGTGGAGTGATTAAGAAGTTTTACTAAAACGTTAAAATAGTGACCAAAAGCCGTGTTACTAATGTTACAGCATCTACTCCCTACAAGCCAACAGAAGGAAGACTTCATTTTTCTCTTATTATTGTTTAAAGGTAAAGGGACATTAGGAGTGACTGTGATGGTCCTCATCTCCCCCTTCCTCATGTTTGTAGTGAACATCAGTGGAAATCACCAGATGACCCTGAGGAAAAAAGAACATGTAAAATTACCTTAAATTTCAGCCAGCCATATTCATAGATCCTATGGCAAACCCCACAGCAGTCCAGGAGACAAGGATGGCTTTATGCCTCCTGAACATTAGCTGATTTTAGGATAGGCATGGGCTCTGACGTTAGTTAACACAACCGTCCAAAAGGCTGGATAACACTTACCACAGAGACACTCAGGTTGCCTATGAGCTTTCCTCCAGTAGACAACAGTCAGAGAGTGAGGACTCGTGCACTCAATGCTCCTAAGCCCTGCTGGGTGTAGCAGAGCTGTCTCTGTAGTGGCCCCGTGCTGGCAATCCCCAAAGGGCTAGTGGGCCCTTTATAACCTACAACTGCTCAAATCACCAGGGCAGTGGGTGGAGGGCTCATTTTTGATACAGAGCTTGGATTTCATATCTAGTGTACAGGTAAAGCTTGATTATTGGCAACATTTAGATCTACCCAACACAGGAATACAATCAAATGCACAGGCCTAAAAAAGAAGCAATATTCTTTAACAAGAAATTGGGCTTCTCACCTGATTGATTTTTATTACAGGTCCAGTCAGGGTAGTGTGGGCCAAGTTAGGAAGAGGAAATCCTTTTCCTAGTTTATCTTCAGAAAGGACAAATATAAATACATTCGAATGTAATCATAAAATGCATTTCAGAAGCATCTTTCTCAAGGAACTCAATTTGTTTTGCATTTTCCCTTTAATCCACCATTCTTGCACCTTTCAAGGGAGCTATTATTCATATTTTCTAAAAAGCAAAAAATCCTGTGAAAAAGTTGTATACAGACCTCTTAAAATCTCTCAGCTGTCTGACACTGGGATCTGACTGCCTTTCCCCTTCACCAGATATCTACCCCACAAGATCTGTTTCTGCTGCTTTCTTATTCTCCATCTTTCTTTCATTTTCTTCTCTACCTGATCCTCCAGTCCCTGTAATTCTCATCTATCCCTGCTTTCCTGGATCACGCTCCAGTTCTATTCCTATTTGCTTTTCCAAACATTTGACTTTTGCATCCCTCCCTTTCATTTTCTTTCCTTTCTCCTCACCAATCTCTTCATCACTTCCTTCCTCAGCAGTATCCTCACCTCTGTTTACCCTATAGGCACTTTCTGTACTCCTCCACCTGCCTCTTTCCACCTTCACCTCTTTCTTCATCATCCCTCACTCTCTGCATCCCACTGAGCTGATTTTCTGCTTTGTCCTGCCTGTGGCAGCAGGTGAAGCATGAAGGCAAGAGGGAGTTGATAAAGTTAGAGATGCTACCCTGAAGCCCCAGGATGCAAGTGTGCTTCTGCAGTTCTCCAGTCTGGGTCATGGTTTGACTCTGTGTCAGGACAAGACTAAAGCATGTCTCAGCTCTGCTGACAGCGATAAGGAAAACCAAGCCCAGTGTTCAGAAGGGAGCCAAGATTTGCTTTATCCAGGTGACTGAGAGACCAGGACTGAATTCCAACACAGAGTAGATCTGTTCAGGTGCAGCCAAATAGAAAACCTCCCATAACACAGTCTTTAAAGCTGGGCACTATCTTTAATGGTTTCAGTCTTGCTTTCCCATCAACTGTACTCAGGAACTGGCCGCAGTCCTTACCATTGATTACTGGGATCACTACACTCCGTACTGCGTAAGATAGAAAATTCTCCACCAGTGACAACTGCTGTGAGGGGGAAAACACATTTGGTGATTATTGCCTTATGCTGATTGGGATTGAAGCTTGATGGGGGAGATGGAGGGTTAGAACTGGAGTGACGTGCAAAAACATCAGGACAGAGCTTGGCAGAGAAAATCTCAGGCAAAAAAAGATATTTTTGGTTTAAGTTGCAGGTGAACGATGTAAAAAATACATGCAAAGAGGTGTCCATTTTTCTCGCAATAAGTTATACTGAAGTATTTTTTTTTAATGTATATTAAGTATCTGGGTCGAACCTTAACTTTAGGAACGAAGTCTGTTCAATCCAATTTCAGCTGCCAGGACTCAGTTCCCAGAAGTGAACTGTTCTCTGAGTGGTGAGAACTGCTCTGTCTTGCTGCTCTTATACCACTATGATTAGTGTCCTCATCCCGTCACTTGAAGATGTAGGTTGGGCTGAGCTGCTGCAGAGTCACACTGACCATTTCTCAGTCTACAGTGAATGATCTAAGCTGTGGCATGGTGTTTCTTTTATTCCCTATTTTTTACTCCCCTTTTAATGATGTTTAGTTGAAGTGATTCAAGATAATTCCTGAATCTGAGCTTAAATCTGACTTTGTATTCACTCCAACTGCTACGCCTACAGCTAGAAGAGTTGTTAGCCCCATGCCTGCCTTTGTGCTGCTGGATACAGAAGTGAGCAGAATCAACTATGACAGCTTGCTAGGTCAAGCAGACCCAGGCAAACATTTCTCTTTTTTCATTTAATGTTAGTTGGTAATAACTCTTGAACATCTGGAGCCTCTGATGAGAAAAAAAACCACTCAACACTCCAAGAGGTATTTCCTCTTACTGGAAAGAAAAAGAAAATCAGAAAATACACTATTTCAAAGCAGAAAGAGCAGTGGCAGATGATATCCCCAAGACAGATCAAGAGTTGTCCAGCAACAAGTTCAGATGTATTTCTTTTATCTCTGAAGGGCTCAGCTACCTTTCCTAGGCACTGAAACCATCAACTTACCTCAGAGGAGCCAAGAGCGGAGTGCAGCAGGGAGAACTGGAGACTGAGGAAGAGAAGAAAAGAAGAGGGTTAACTAGAAAGGGCAAAGGCAGAAGTTATGCACACTGCTTGAAGATTAATTTGTGGAATTTCATACTGATTCCATGCTGATTCACGCATTTAACTTTGCCAAAGACACTTTGATTCTCAACAGCTTTTAATCAAAATTGGCACAACTACAAATGAGTTTTAGAATCACTGGGATCTTTCTGATACTGATCTCCTCCTACTGTCATGTGTACTCCTGGGCTGTGACTATATGACCTGGGAAATCAAATTTTTGTGGAAGTGACATTTCCTGCAATAGCTGAACTACACATTCCTCAAATGTTCATTATAATTTGAATAAACTCATACCTATTCCTAACCATCATGATTTCCTAACTTTTTGCACTTATGCCTGTAATGCATCTTCAGATTACTGTAAATATAAACATGGGGAAAAAAACCCAACATTTTGAAGAACAGAAGAACACATTCTTGTGTCAAAAGCTCTGAGTGGCACCATTGCTTCTTAAACTTATACAGACAGGTTCTGATCACTCTAAGTCCTCTTTTCCTGTTAAAAACGTCCAGTGAACAAAACTAAGAAAAGGCTGCTCACATTTTTCTTTAATGAAGATGTAATAGGTTAAAAAATATCATGTATTCTGGAATTCTGCCCCAATTTGGAGTATAGATATAACAAGAAGAAACACCAATGCAGGCTACTTGCCTGAAAGTCTGTGCTTCTACCCACCAGATACATTTAGGGAGAAAGGGGCTGTAAACCCAGACCAGCTTGTAATGCGAGTAAAACTCGTTCTAAGACAGAGAAGAACACACATAACTGTAGGTAACCACAAAACCAGCAAAATCTAAAAAGCTCTGAGCTTTGTTTCAAACTACAGACATCTTTCTTGTCTCATTTGTTTGATGGGATGCTGTCTGCTGTTGCAGTATGTGCGATGTAGTCTCACTTTTCCCTTCCCCTCATCTGAAGGCACACAGAGAGCTAGTTACAGTGGTCCAGTGCAGTGTTTGCACTCTGGCAGTTCTGTTAATGATACTCAGACATGGCATGGCTGCAACACAGAGAGTTTCAAATAAACTACTGAAATTCATTTGCCAACATCAGCACAGACTGAAACAGATGCCTTTAAGATAACCGATAAATTGAGCATTGTCATCTGGAAATGTATTTAACCTACAGAAAGAGGTAGTATCATGTTGCACAAGAGACATGGTTGTTCTGTGATAATATTATATTTCATCTGCAAGATTTAGACCAACCTGTTAAAAGTATTTTAGATTTCCTGTGAGAAAGAAGGTAACTAATTTTCTTTTTGTTATGGTGAAACAAGCACTGTCAGGCTGACGCAATGAAGTTCTTTGGTGTCCTAATGTTGAGATCATTAATATTGCTTTTTGAATTTTCTCTGGTTACCTCTTCAGAAGTAATGAGATATTCAACTTCTGTTTGGTTACTGTCAAATCGGCTCTGGTAGTGGCTGTCTGCAGGGAAAAAACAAAACAGTCTTCTGTGACTGCATACACAGATACTGTCTTAGATACAGGCACAAATGCAATTGCTTTCGTGATTGGAAACACAATGTCGAAACTTTTTATTTGGTCAATACATGTAGATAGTGAAAACATTTGTGAACTTGCTGCTTTCAGCCAGCAACTGAGATTGCGTGAGCAAAGTGATAATACTTCCCAGATTGCCTCCTTATCATTAGGATCATTTAAGTCCTTGCACAGCTGACATAATTGGTTCACTTTCAACCTAATGAAAAGATGTCTAGGGACACACTGAACTATTTTATAAGAAACAAGTTAGGAAGACTGGGCATCAGATAATCACATTTTTATATATTACAAATTATTCTTGAATAATCACTCAACCTCCCACATGGAAAAAGGATCTTTCATAAGTAGCTCTCTGTACCTGCCTATTAAATTCTGCAATATGTGGTACAGGTTTCCTCCCTGTGAAATGCAGTGGCAGATGAGTATGTGCTATTTTATGTCATTCTCTATGATTTTCAAAGGATCTGGAAGATTACTGTGTGATTTGTTCAGCCCCAGCACTGAATGTTATCTTCTAGCTCATGTTACTTACTAGATTCCCTGTAAAGAGGTACCGGGTGGTTGAATTTGGCAGAACAGCAAACACCTCTACACAGCCAGTGATCTGTAGGATGCATCTGTCTGCATTTAAACTGACCACAGGAGGTGATGTTCAGCAGCACAGGGCATGATATTATGTAACTCAGAGCCATCTGTGGAATTTCGAAAAGGAGAAAAACACTGAATGCAGAGTTAAGCTTTTCTTAAGCTACAGTTTCTGTGGCTGCATCATAATCAGGTGCTATACACCAATCCTCTTGTTAATTAACCAATATTAAAAATGCTTCATTTTAATTACAGCTACTGAAATGATGAAATCAGCATTGCATATACACTGAGTTTCAGAGACCATAAAACAAATGATGAAGTCTTAGACCCACTGATATTGAGCATATATAGAGAAATAATTTAAAGGTTGTCCCTGAAAAATGTATTTCAAGAGGAGGGGATTTGCACTGCATGTTAAATAAATGAGGGAAATAAGTGATTTGAGTAAAAAAAAAAAATAATGACCCCGACAATATAAAGAATTTGGAAAAGAGGCAGCTTTCCAAAAGAGCCAACCTTTTGAAAAATATAGAAACTCCTAGAGGGCACAAGTTTAGTTTGCAATGCCACAGATTCCAAATTTCATTAAATGTTGCCATATTGTATCTTAATTTCTTGCATCATATTTATAAACTTAGTTACTCATGACTATTACTTCCCATTGTATATAGTCTCCAGTAGTCATATATCAGGTATCTTCGCACAGAGAAGTGAGGCTACCAATGGCAGAGATACCATTACCTTGAACAGGAATATAAGGAGACTGATCCCACAGCAGTCTACCACTTAAGTTTCCATAACTATTTCAGAGATTGAGAGCAAATCCAGCACTAGAGAGAAGTAGTAGAGAACAACTAAAGAGTAATGTGATATAGTTAGGAAGAACACAGAGTTATGACTGGGTAGACATATATGTTTCAATCTTGCACTAATCATAAACCAGCTAGTTTCCTTGTCTCCTCCAAACTTCTGCAGCTAAGCTAGTACACTGATATTATCCATAAGAAACATTAGTTACTGCTCTTTCTTAAAAGGTCTGTAGAAGTAAAAGTACCCACCTCAGGAATAGAATCTTTGAATAAGGTGGTATTTAGGTTAAAAGTAGTAGCAAGCTGTAAACAAATGAAATAAATTAGATCATTATATCAGCTTGAAAATTAGGTGTTCCTTGGTAAAAAAAAAAACAACAAACCAAACAAAACCACAAAATATATCCTGTTTACTTTAGTTTTAGATAATCCATGTTTTGATTTAGTATTTCCTTGCCCCAGAACAACTCCTAAGGAACACACAGTGCTGCGTGGGACAGAAGAGAGACAAATTGCTCATGGACGTGTTTCAGAAGCACGTACCAGTGAACAAACACTATTCTTTGAAAGAACAGATGTGGCATCCTGCTTACTTCCTGCCTTTAGGACTTTCTTAGATGAAATATACTGAACCTGTCAGAGGCGGGACTCAAAAATCTCACTTGCTCTTTCGCTGCTGACCACTGTGATGGCATTTGTCAGTGCCATTTGGGCCTCCTATTTTTATAAAGACCCTCTTAGCACTGTTTCAGTTAGTAAATCTTCTACTAATGCTAGTGTGGAAATAGCATTTTTGAGAGAAGTCTTGTATTCTTCTTGTATTCACCCACAGCTGAAAGCTTAGTTTCCTTGTACCTGCCTCTTGCCTCATTTTGCTGTTAAGTCTAAAGGTTTAGTCTACCTCTCAGAGCAGCCAATGCATTTATTGTGGGCCTCTATGCAGCAGACTGGCTTCAGTACACTTCTTCCTGTCTTGCCCTTTTCTTTCCTATGTGGAATCCACGCAGAAAAAAGCTTTCTTTTTGTTATTTCTGCCACTCCTTGCACACCAACTCTGTAATGTTCATATCTGTCATTCCTTCTGTAAAGCTGCCAAGAAATTCAGACTTAGGTCTGAAGGAGACTTTGACTATTTTAAATGATGACATACAGAATGAATGCCATGAATCCCTCCTACAAGTGGTAGAAGTGTGACCCGAATCTGTGTAAAATAGTAAACATAAAAGTGTTAGTCTCACTATGTGTTAGTCTATCCACAGTGCTGATATTTGTAATTCTATTACATGTAAATTATACTCACCTCTTTGGAGATGGTGATGTTAAAGGCCCCTGCTCTGTAGTAAACCAGTGAAGCAGACTTAAGAAAATAACGGGAGACTCCCAGGTAGAGCATGGAATCACCCTGGTTTGGGAGAGCAAATGGAGCTGGCACAAATGGAGGGTCTGTGTGATTTCCTACTGGATAGACTGTGCCCTGCAAAGAGTCATTACTGAGTATTTCTAGTTGTAAACATTTGTGTATGTCAGAATGCATTAGCAGTGGCTGAACAGAAAGAATTCTTCCTAACCTGAAGAAAAGCTTGACATTAAAGAAGACCAGAAGTAAGCAAATAAGTTTGTGATATGCCCTGAAAATCAGCAAATTCAGACTTGCAATCACATTGGTAGCTGTCATGGATTATGCATCATTTGTAACAGGTAAAGACCAAGTTTGTGATATACCCTGAAAATCAGCAAATTCAGACTCTTTTGAAAAAATACAGGAATCACAATCTGGCCTCCATCCTTTCAAAGTCTGAATTTGAGCATTCAAGTTAGTATTCTGAACTGCAGCTATGAGATACACAAAAAATCCTCTGGAGCACAGTTTTCTTTTTCTAGTGGCAAAGTCTTTTTCTTAATTTAATTCTAAGGGTGACGTGTCAATAAAATCTTCAGGCACACCCTAAAAGCAGTCGAAGTTACTTAGGACAGGGACACAAAGGAGAATTTTATGTCACTCAAGTCTTAGTCCTGGTCTAGCTGCCAGTCCTTGAAGACCTAGTTCTGGTGCTGCAGAGGTGTGGGACCTTGGTTAAGTTATACTAAGAAAATAATTCTTAAAATGTGAAAAGGTATGTGAGCTCTGGCCATGTAAGACAAGAAAAGTAAGAACAGACAGTAGGTTGTATAGTTACTGACACTGTAACAGTAGCTGAAAGATTCAACGGGAAAAATACTGAAGTGGAAATGTATAAAACCCTAATAAAAAGGTTGAGAGTTGGAAGATGAAAACTCGAAACTATCAAGAATCAGCCTGTTCCAAAGAGCACTGAAGGCCAGTAACTTCCTTACCTGATTAATAACTAATTTACAAAGACTCATCCAGTATCCCATCAGGGTGTCAGCCTGATAAAGCTTAGCCTGTAAGTTCTGGCTAGCTATAGTAGCAGATAAACAGTTGCTTAGTACTTTAAAGCTATGTATATCCTGCTTAAAGAGTGTCTTTTGTGGCTGGTAAAAGTTGCTTGAACAAAATAACCCAGTGGCAGAGTTTCAGCCACAATTCTAGTACAGCTTTCTTATCCAAAGTCAGTTCTGAGAGCCACAGGGATGCTCTGAATTACAAGGACTGTCGAAGCTGCTGAAAAGCTGGGTGTTGCTGAGATTTCTCTTGTCAACAAAAGTGAAAAACAGATAAGAAAGGAACTTCTCTGTGCTGCTCAAAGACTGTCTGAGAGAAGTCTTTTTTCTGGGTGTGATCTGTACATATACAAGATGCTGAGTCATCTCAAAACAAATACTTTGGATTGCAATCACATTGGTAGCCGTCATGGATTATGCATCATTCGTAACAGGTAAGGACCAAGTAGCAGTGTATCTGAAGAACACTTTTATGCTGAAACTCTGAAATAATTTCTAAATAATAGCTTTGGTTAATTGACAAATGCAGTTAATGTATTAAATAAGCAATCATATCTGGTTTCCAAAATGGCTCTTGACCAAACTGTCCAAATGTCTTATTGTGTTTCTAATTAAATATTGGAGAGACTGAGTAAGACTGCAGTAAAAGAAAATGAATCAACACAAAAGAGAATCAGAAGAGTTTTAGAAAGCACACTGATATTAAAGACAAATTACCTTCAAATCCAAGGTAATGTGTGATTTGAAGACTGCTGGAGAACTAACTAGGGAATAGTCTATTTGTGCAAAGGCATCAATCTGGCTTAAGACTAGAAGAATGATGGACAAAAACAAAACAGTCATTATTAAAAAGACACATCACAAACAATTATTGTTTAGTTAAAGGCAAAGGCGTTCTAGAAATGATGAATCTCAAGAAGAAGAATTGTGGGAGAAGGAAGAAGAAAATAAAAAAACTTATTATAAGAGAAAAAGCGAGGGTATTCCTTGTGGAAATGTCATTGATTCCTCCTGGTTTAGGCCTTGTTCTTCTGTTCACAACTGAACACACTCTTCAGAAATCTCTCCCGTGTAGTGAAAGGAGTATCTAGGGCAGAGTCCTCTTTTTTGTTACGTGTTTGCACAAGAGAACTAAACTCTCCCATATGATTAGTGAAATACTGGCAAATGCTACTGAATACTTTGGAAGATGACATTAGCACATTCCTACACATATCAGTGTTAAAGGCAAGGGGTGTTTGTTCACAATAGAGGGCACTTTATCAGACAATAAGATTGAAGAATTATTTTTGAAAACTGTTCCCATGTAACTTCAGTCTGTTATATTTTTATTGGACTGTAAGGTCTGTTCATATTGTATAAAAATCAGATGGGTTTAAACAGAAATGGTGAATTCACACAGAGATTAGGAACTCCTCTATATGACAGCACAGCTTGGAGCGCCCTTGAGCCTGAAGTGTTTAGGTATGTACTGCATAAGAAAACGTTCTTGACAAGCATGATTTTCAGTAATATTTGCCACTACTTGGCACATGGCAGATATAACCCATTTTAGGAAAAATAAAAGTCTACTTACTTTGCTTCTAAATAGGAGAGCAGATAATAGCAGTATCTGCAGTGCAAAGTGAAGAGTGGGAACAAACTCTCTGACCTGAATTATATGACTTAGATGAATTCAGTGAAATTGAATTGGTGAAAACTCAAAATATTCTTAGTCTTGGAAAAAATAACAAGAACCAAAAAGGGGGAAAAAAAGAAGAGCTGTGGGATTATTATAGAAGTGAAAATCTTGTATCTATTGTATTCATGTCTTTGCAAGACTGACACTGAAACTGTTACTGGTGAAGAGAAGCACGCTTAGTGTGACATTGCCTTCCTGCAGCATCTTCTTATCTCACTGAACTCAAGTTGAAAACAAATGCTAAGTTTACAAGATCTTACAGGAATGTTTGCTAGCTCTTTAGTGGATTATTGCTAACTCAGTTTTCTTATGTCCACAGTACCAAGAGCACAAAGGATCAGCATGAAAATGTTCTTCTCAAATATTTGAGGAAATAACACAGGTCAGCTACAATAGACTGAAAGAGTAAATGTGACTTGCTATGGACACAGACAAAATCTGAATATTGTATATAAGGTGCATGCAAGAGATTTCTAGGGTGGACTCTGGAATAGGTTAAGGTACAGAAAAATAGCTGTATTTTTCTTCCTTCACTTTTCTTTTACTGTGAACACAGAACAGCCTGGAATCTAATAAAAAAAAAAGGTTAACATTTGAACACTATGAAAATTACTTAACAAAAAGCTGTTATCAACAACTTACCCTTATGCTTTCTTAGCTCTGCATCCATCATTTGGATTTTGTATTTGATATTTAGGCATAGCTATATGAAAAGAGAGTCAGTAATGTAAGGGCTGTTTTTCAATTTCTCCCTTCACTAACTGAAACCATCTTTGCAAACTTACACTTGTATCCAATTTGGTGTGAATGGGCTTCTCAAGATAACCAGATAGAAAGTTGTAGATCCAGCTGGAGGAAAGGAAATTAACACAATGACCTTTTACCACGGATTGAAATCTTTGAATTATAAAATCTGGCAGACTGGAATGTCAGTGTCATTTATATTAATAGGGCTTGATTACAGTGATGTTGGTTAGACTGCGCAGTTGACTGTTTTTATTAATTTGCGAGTCAGACAAATGTAAGGGGTTCTCAGTCTCATAAGAGCTATTTAGAAGGCAATCTGCAAAGTAGTGAATGTTCATGTTAACATGTTGATAAACAATACTCAATTAGCCACATTTTGTCTTTGAGTAAGAAAAAAAAAATCTAGAAAATCAAAATAAGAACTACAAGCATTGTTTCATAGTTTCTTTTGAAAATTTTATTCTGAAATAGTAGGTCAGCTTGTCAAAAGGCATAATCAGTCTAAACCACCTTCATATCTGCAAACCTCCATTTGCAATCTTGTATTCTTTAATGTGCCCAAATTGATTTTTTTTCATATGCAGTATGTTTAATCAGCTCGTTTGTTGGCACATGCACAAAGTGTAGATTAACCACACTTCACACACTCAGCAAAAGTTTTGAAAACAGACCTTTAAAATTCTATTTTCATTGCCTTCAATGGTTAGTTGTATCCTGTAACTGGATCCCTAAAAATAAAAATTTCAAAAGTGGCTCTTATGCTACAAACCCTGCTACATCCCACAGAGTAATTAGAAAATCTACTGTACATACCTAGATCCTCCATTTAACTTGACTTTTACACTATTAATGCTCAGCTGGCAATTGTGTAGCAACGTGGACAAGTGGCCTGTGCTGTCCCTTGACACTTTGAAGATAATTGCAATAAACAGTCCTGAGACGGACACAGTAATTTCTCCTTGGTCTTTGCTGCTCAGAGGAAAACAAAACAAAACAAAACAAAAAACCAAACCAAACTCAGTCAAAGAAACATCTGCTTTAAGGCAACAATTTAAGAAACTACCTGTAAATCAAGTTTGAAAGGACTTTTTGCTTCTAACATCTGGAATGAAGAATGGGTTTTCTAGGGATTAAAGTAGATTTGGGAGATGCATGATATTCAAAAACAGATTATATGCATAAGTTTCCAGGACATGAATTTTCCAGTAATGTGCAGGATTTGACAAGTCTGCAAAACTTTGACCATTTTACAGCAACAGAAGACATTACAGTCCTTCATGATAAATCACCCTGAATGCCTCTGGGACTGCAGCAGCAGAAGCCAGTTAGCTAATAAATATATAACCCAGTGGTTCTCAACTTTGCATATGTTCCACCTGCCTCTTTCCTGTAACAATTTTCAATAACCCCTTAAAATGTATGCATTCCTCCATTCTTTGTCCTGCCCCAAATCCATTTGTTCTGTCTCCTTTCTGTAAAAATCCCTTCTAAAATACCAACAAAAATATCATCATACCTAAATTCCAGCAAATTTAGGTATTAGGACTACAGTTAGGAGTTGTAGAAGCTGTAGACCAACCAAGCAGGACACAGAAAGCTGAATGGGTGTTAGAATAGCCTTATAAGAACCTCATTTACCATAACAGAACTGGCAGTGAAAGCATCACTTTTCACCCCTTCATCTGATTATTTAGGTTTTCTTTTTCCGGACATTACTATAGTGGGTGCACCATACTAGGGAGAAAGAATCCAGCTCATTGTGAAGCTCAAACTGTGAGTCTCTCAGTTTTCCTCTTTTATTTTTCAGGCTAAGCAAAAATCCTTGGGAAAGAGGTTGTAATCCTGAAAGGTTAATCTTAACCCTGCCCCAAACCATAGACTACCCCTGACCAAACCAGTGAGTATTATTGCCAGTCACAAAGTCCCTCCTTACCACCACTACCATTTCTAGTCCCACCTTTCAGTCTGTATATGTGAATCAAGTGGCTATCTGGAGGAAGCACCACTCTTCACACCCTCATTTTCCAGTCCCTAACCAAATGCCCATCTCACAAGCCATTAAGAAAAACATTTTCCCAAGGAGGGTTGTGCAGCACTGGGGCAGGTTACTTGGAGAGGTTGTGGCATCACTATCACTGGCTTAACACCACCACTAGACAGCTGGCCTGATCTAGTCTGGTGACTGCTCTGTTTTGAGCAGGAAGCCGGACAAAATGACTTCCAGATATCCTTCCAACCTAGGTTTACCCATAGTTCAGTGACAGAGACCATCACAAAAGGATCTCAGTCCTCCTCCTCCCTTTTTGGGCTGCCTCTGTTCTTGCACCCTGGTATCTCCTCTTCTTCAGAAGGAATCCTGATTCACTGAGGCAGGGTCTCAGCTCCAGACCTCCAGAAGATTTTGTGACTTGCAGAGTGCTTTGGGACACAGTGGAGAGGGGGGCTACAGTGAGAGCTGGAAATGCAGGGATAACACTATCACAACCAAAAAGCTGTGATAAGATCCACTGACCCTGGAAAGACCCCAGGAGGGGTGAGTTGTCAATGGTCTCCGTTGGAAAGGTCATTTTCAGCTGAACCTTAGTGTACTATGCTGAAAACAACACATGGGACTAGGGAATGGTAGGGCATATACTGGATCTGTCTAAGCCTGCAGCCATTCACAAAACATCATATTGAACAGAGCAGCACACATTTTTCCTTCTGCACCTCAAAAAGGCAAGGAAAACCCTGCACCCCCTAAACACCACCAAAGCTAGCTTTGACCACCTCCACCATGATTTGCTTCACCAGATTCTGCATACTAGCTCCCTGCCTCCCTGGCTGTGAAGTCTTTGGAGTCTGAGATCTCCTCAGATTATGCCCAGGTCCTTATCCTTCAGCAAGAGCAAGAGGTGGCTTCGTGTTTGGGAACAG